AAGACATATGATCGAATGGAATGGTCTTTCATTGAGGCCACCATGAGGAAGATGGGCTTCTCAGAAGTTTGGATCACCTGGATTATATGTTGCATTACATCAGTAAAGTACAAGGTCCTAATGAATGGACAGCCGAGAGGAAATATTGTCCCAGAGAGAGGTCTACGACAGGGGGATCCTCTGTCCCCTTTCATTTTTATTCTATGCACGGAAGCGCTCGTTAGCCTTCTTAATCACGCAAAGAATCAAGGAAAGATAACGGGGATGCGCATCACGCGTGCGTGTCCGTCGGTATCCCACCTACTCTTTGCTGATAGCCTTTTCTTTTGTAAGGCAGAGCCCCGTGAATGTGAAGAAGTAATGAAAGTGGTCATGAAATATGGACAAGCTTCTGGACAATGTATTAATTTGACAAATCATCTCTACTCTTTGGTAAGATAATTGGACAAGCGGCCAGACAGGAGATCAAAGATACACTTGGGATCCAAAGTGAAGCGGGTATGGGTACATATCTAGGGATACCAGAAGACCTCAGTGGTTCCAAATGCAAGCTTTTTGATTTCTTAAAAGATAAGCTTAGGAATCGAGTGAATGGATGGACGGGCAGGTGGTTATCGAAAGGTGGAAAAGAAGTAATGTTTAAGTCAATTCTGCTAGCTCTCCCAACCTATGTTATGTCATGCTTTCTCCTCCCATTGGAGATATGTGATGCCTTGGCTAGTGCCATTGCACAGTTTTGGTGGAGCTCAAATCCACCGAAAAGGGGATTACACTGGTCAACATGGGATAAGTTATGTCTACCTAAAGAGAAAGGGGGTATTGGATTCAGACTGATCCATGAATTCAACTTGGCGCTTATAGCTAAGCAGTTGTGGAGATTAGCTCAAAACCCAGATTCCCTGGTAGCTCGAGTTATGCGAGGTCGGTATTACAGATTAAGCTCGCCATTGCGGAAGCTCAATGTTAGTAGTCCATCATATGTGTGGACAAGCATCTCGGCTGCACGAGAACTATTGATGCTGGGGGTTAGAAAGAAAATGCATTAAGGCTATGAAGTGAAAGTATGGGAGGATCCTTGGATTCCTACAATCCCAGCGAGGCCAGCGCTTGCGTCTGCTCCGGTTTTGCACCCGAACACGCGAGTGAGCGAGCTTATCAATCAAGAAACAAAGACTTGGGACCTGGAACGACTGGCGAATTATGTTGATGCTGTTCATACGGAGTATGGCTATTAGCTCAACACATCGCAGAGACATGCATTGCTGGAATTACACAGGAATGATCAGTATACAGTCAAGTCAGGCTATTGGGTCGCTCGGAATATCTTGAAGAAGGAGGAGGATAATATGGTGGGAGAACCTAGCATTACAAAACTCAAAGCACAAGTATGGAAGGTTAAAGCACCCCCAAAAATGTGTCACCTTATGTGGCAGATTATAACATGTCAGGTGGCTGTTATGAGTGCCTTAAATCATCGACACATTAGATGTGATAAATTTTGCCCGCGATGCGGAGAGCCGGAAGAAACAATTGCACATGCAATCTTCCAATGTCCACCGGCATTACAGGTGTGGGCACTTGCCTCTATACCTACCAGCTCAACTTTATTTCCTCTGGAAAGTACCTACGCAAATATGGACTACCTATTTTGGAGGAAGAAGGCCATAAGTGGACCAGAATTAGACAAGGACCCTTATCCTTGGATAATATGGTATATTTGGAAGACTCGGAAAGATAAGTTGTTCAGAGGAATCGATAGAGACCCCCTGGAATTAGCCCGGTACGCGGAAAGTGAGTGTCTTGCATGGTTTCAAGCTAATGAGCAGGATATTGTGACACCACAATCAAACAGAGATGCTGAGCACCAGGCCATAAGCCTACGAGATATTTGCATGATAGATGGTTCTTGGACCTCTACTGATCAATTCTATGGATGTGGCTGGGATTGGAAGGACTACATGGGAAATAGCCAGTTGATGGGTCTGCGTAATGTTAGTAGGATGGAGTCGGCCTTGCATTCGGAGCTGGAAGCACTGCGTGGGCAATGGAGAATATGCTTCAACATTCGCCATGTCAGAGCTTTGGGACGGACTGCAAGGAATTGATAGCGATGCACACATACCCTAATGGATGGCCGAGATTTTTGACGGAACTGGAGAGGCTCTTGACGTTGAGGATTTGTTTCCCAGACTTCAAGATTATCTACGTACCTAGGGCTCGAAATGTTGTGTCTGATCATCTAGTTAAGACTGCTCGTTCCTACTATCGTGAGTTGTTGTATGTTGGTTGTTCTATTCCGGTCTGGATTCCCAGACCACCTCAAGCTTGAGTAATAGATAAGCCTTTCGATGTCAAAATTTTTTTTTTTGTAAGATTAATTATAATTTAACTTATTTAGTTTTCATTTTTAACTCACTAAAACTATCCAAATCTATGTAAAATATGATTCTGTTTTCTAAAAATTACTTCAATTTTTCTAAAAATTTTAAAGATAATTAATACTAAGTGAAATAAAAGAACAACTTATACCAATTTTTTCAAGAACACAGGAAAGTATGATAGTTACGTTAAGCTAACGTTATTCCCTAGAGTATATAAGATCACCTGAGAAGAGCAAACCATTTTTCTCAAGAAAACTAGAGATTCCGCACAAGGTGCAATGAGGCGTGTAATGGCGGTACCTCCTCCAACTCTCATGGCGGAACCTCCTCCGAATCTGATGTTGAAAACGAGAGACATTCTTGCGACTTCAAGCCACGAAGGCTTAGAGAGTCTTCTCTGTCAACTCCGAACGAGTCAAGAAACGGCACTTGCTCTGTTCAACTTCATCACCAACGAGTTCGCCAACTCCTTAACCCTAAAGCTTCTTCAGATGTATCAGTCTTCTTCCAATGGCGTCCTCAGAGCTCACTTGATCTTTCTCCTCTTCGAAACCCTCAACGACTACAAAAGGAGAGGTTTCGAACTATCTCTCGTGGCTCTCAACGAAATCAAACCCCTTTTGATTTCTTGCTTGAGGATGCAAGAACCCGACCTCATAACACTCAGGCAAATCGTTTCTTTCATCGCTTACGATGTTGTGATTCTTGATAACAACGGATGGGACGAGCTCAGCGAGTGTATCTTCGAGATCTCCAGTACCGACCCTCTTAAGGCTTTGCACATCTTCGTGGACTTGCCTCTAATGTACGAGAAGTTCTTATACAATTGTGGAGGGATGATTGCAGAGAAAGCAGAGAAGGTGTTGCTTGTTCCTTATCAAGACCGCGTCCAAGATTGGAGCTTAGGTTTACAAGCTGTTGTTAAACTCGGGATTCAGCATTTGGATTCTGATATGAGATTCGATATGGTGAAGCGTCTTCTTATTCTTCTTGTGAAGGCAGCGAGCGATCTTGTGGAGAAGGGTATGGAAGAGTTTCTGGTACGAGGGCTTGCAGATCTTGGGAAGTTCTTGGCACGAGACAAGAAAGCGTGTAATTACAATAAGGAGCAGTGTGATTTTGTGTCTGTTTTCTTGTTGAAGATCAGAGACTTGGGACCACTAACCATGGAGGCTACGGGGAAGATCCATCATTTGGTAAATTCTAGTCCACCTCTCGTACAACAGCCACTACAGGTTCATGGAGCAGTTTCTGAAGGTGAATGGCTTGATCGTTTGAACAAGTTACAGCCAGTTGAGATGTTAAGAGTCTTTGCGTCGACTGATGTTGAAGAGAGGTTCAGAGAATTGGCAATCAGACAGCTCAACCTTTTACTCTCTGATCGCCTGTCAAGGCAACAAGCAACAGACGTTTCAGTGTTGAGAGAACTACAGAAATTGCTCATCTCTTGCCTTTGGGAAAGAGAAGGAATCTCGGAGAGCATGTTCAAAGTCCTTGGTGAGGTTGTCTACTACGTTGCGTTTGAGATGATGATTTCCTACCTTGAGATATGGGACGATCTTTGCTTCTATATTACATCAAACAGCAAAACAGAGTTTGAGAGAGCGGTTTATATCTTCCAGTGCTTAACAATATGGCTTCCTATGGAATTTATGGATCCTATAGTGGAGCCTCTTCTCCCAGAGATAAACAAAAGGCTAAACCCACCAAGAGAGGTGTTGGTAGATAACAGTTGCTGGGTCTTGGCGTTTGTGGGCGCCTTCTGTGCCATCATTCAATTGATACGGATGGAAATTTATGCTGAAACTGTGATGGAGATGGCAGATAAGATGGTAGATTCAGTGAGAGATCTTGTGGAAAGAAAAATGGAAGTTGGGCTTGTGAGGAGAGCTTTCAGAGATTTGGAAATCATTGTGAAGAAGCAAAAGGAATGGTTTAGTGAACAAGAATTCAAATTGACTAAGTCTCTACTTCAGAGACTCGAGGTAATCAAAGGCATAACAATGGAAAGCAAGCTGGTGTTGTGGAGAATCAAGAGAGGGATGGCCGATCATGTGGCCGCTTAAGGGTTGTATAATCTGATGGTTTGTCTGATATTTGTATATACGTTAGTGCCAATCATTCTTTCATACAGTTAGAGATTCTCTCGAGTGTTCCTCTTTGGTTATGTTGTGTTTGATCATTGCTTTTCTTGGTCATGTCTCGAGTTGACCAAATCATTTTTTCATTCAATAAAAAACTTTTCTCTTGATGGTTTTTGTCTCTGTTTAACAATCATTCCAAAGTTTTTTTCCCCTAGGTTTAATCAAATAGTCAATCACAAACTTTTTCAGTTTTTAAAGCTCCTCTGTACTTGTTAAAAAAAAAAAAAATCTTCATAAGCGCTTTGAATACGTGGATCAACTTTTAGGTTTATATATATATTTTAGTATAACTTTATCTTTTTGTTCAGAGTGTTATATCAAATTTAAACTTAAATTAGATGATTAAACGTGAGAGTTTAGATATTTCAAAGTATTTTATTGTGGATTAATAACTTTTATAATGTGGTTCAATTTTTTAAAGCCAGATTGTGACACAGATCTAAAGTTAAACATTTGAGGTTCAATTTAAAGTATAGAAAATATAAACATTTTAGGGAAAATGATTTAGATTGACAGTAAAAAACAATAACGTAAATAAACTAGTAATTAAATCGAAATATAAATATTTTAGGGAAAATTATTTAGATTGACTCTTATTTATAACATAATTAAGAGATTAACTCTGCACACATACATATAAGAGATTTTTGCCAAAACTAATCCACAACTTGATTTTAACTCAAATACTAGATCCAAACTTGAATCAAATACAAATCTAACTTAAAAGTCTTATGAAATTACAAAATAGTCTCTTGTGACCAAACAAATAAATAGAAGATATATTTACGAATATAGTCCCAGTAAATTGTCTTAGTCGTCTGCGATGTTTTTCAGTCGTCTGGACGACTGAAATGTAAGTCGTCTGGACGACTGAAATGTAAGTCGTCTTGACGAATGAATCTTAAAAATAATTTATAAATTTTGTAAAAAATATTTTGATGAGTGAAAAATCAATATCATGTAATTACAAATAGTTTTAAGTGATATAAATAAAGATATGATAAAACTGATTCGTTTTCAACATAGATGAATAAAAATAGTGAATCATGATATTCTTTGGTTTATGGGTTTGGCAAACATATGTTGTAGTATTGTATGTATTCTTCGGGTTATATTTTAAAAAGCTGAAATGTTTTTTTCAAAAACTTAATTTTACATCTATGTGTTTATTTATGTGTATAGTAAACACTTTTCAAGTTTAATATGATTTTCGAAGTGTTTAATTAGTGAAGAAAGTTTAGGGGTTATGTTTAGGGTTTAGACGACTGAAAGTTCAGTTATCTGTTTTAAATTATTCACTAGACGACTGATATTTCAGTCGTGACATCGTACCGAACCGTTAATTTTACCAATGTACGTTTTAACCTAACTGGATAATTTACCTGACATATAAAAGCTATTTTTCACTATTTCACAACTTTCCAAAACCCTAGCGCCGTTTCTCTCCAAGGGCGATTTTGAAGGCGATTTCGAGGTCGATTAGACGATATCGTGTTCCACCGTTCTCTTCGTCGGTAATCTCTCTGAATACGACGAATCTCGTTTCTCCTTAATGCCTTGGAGTATTTTCGTTGTTTAAACTGACCATCCGCTTCCTTTTTTTCAGATCTGAAATCTCGTAACCCTTTCCTCCGCCGCATGTATGTTATTTCTCATGTCTTAAGGCGGCTAAACGCTAAAAATTGTAGTCTTTGATTCTTCTTTTCCCTTCGACTTGCAGATCTGTAACCACTTGGGGCCACATCTTCTCCGAACAAATCTTCTCTGACAATATCTTCTTCGACTGTAAGTCATCTGTCTTTTGTTTAAAGACTACTCTTGTAGTGTTTTACTGAAAGACTACTTGGACGACTTCCTGGAAATCTTATATGTAAGTCGTCCAGAAAGTAAAACTTTGTAGAAGACTTCCAGAAAGTCGTCCGAGTAGTCTTTTCACTTCATGGAAGTCGTCCGAGTAGTCTTCTCACTTCCTGGAAGTCGTCTGCAAGTCTTCCTGGAAGAATAACTACGTATCCTCTCTATCTATGTTATTGTTTACAGGAATACTAATAATAACTTCGACAATTCTGCAGGTTAAGTAAAACATGGGACTTGACTACAGCTATTGCCAGCCTTCGGAGTCAGAGGATTTATTTGGAAACTCAGTCGACAGTGGTTACAGCGAGACAGATGATCTAATTCGATGTGACCAAGCTGAGATTAGCTTAAATGCTCATTCACTGGTTCAGTACCCTCTGCAACCCGAGGTTGAGTTTGGCTTCACGCAGATATGTGGTGCTCAGCCTCTGCTTGCAACATCTAACAATAGGAATGATCCAGGTAAAATAACAGGCTACTATATATTGGATATATAGTCTTGCGTATGTGCTCATATAGTCTTGTGTATGATCACCACAGGTAGAAGATACTACACCTATGAGAATGTAGATAATGGAGAGTGTTATGTTTGGAAATGGTGGGATGTGGCGGTGATGGAGGAGATGGGAGCCAGAGATAGACACGTGCTTATGCTGGCTGAAAAGGTCGAGAAACTTTCCCTTTTGAGTGACTATGAGACTGAGCAGAAGCTGGTTAGGCTAGAGAAGATTGTGTGTGATATAGCTAAGGAGAAATCAAAGTTTAGCCATGGGTTTGAGTACTTTCTATGTGTAATGGTTCTTGTTATATTTTTAATAGGAGTAGTGCTTATGTTTAAGTAAATCAACATGCTATTGTGTTATTTGTAATGTCTCGGATGGACTTGATGTAAATGTTAATGGTGTTTTTGTAATGTCTCGGGATGGACTTGTAATGCATTGTAGACATTTTCATATATATCCATCGTAAAATCATTGTCATATATATTCATTCCATGACTTGTAATGCATTGTAGACCATTTTAAAATTTTAGTAATATGATATAGTCTTGCGTATGAGCAGTCATAATTTTTATAATGCTCGTGAAATGAAGGTCGCTGGACGATTTAGGGGTTAGACGACTGAAAGTTCAGTCATCTATTTTAAATTATTCAACAGACGACTAAAATTTCAATCGTCACATCGTACCGAACTGTTAATTTTACCAAAGTACGTTAAAACCTAACTGGATCATTTACCCGACATATAAAAGCTATTTTTTCACTATTTCACAACTTTCCGACACCCTAGTGCTGTGTTTCTCTCCAAGGGCGTTTTTGATATCGTGTTCCGCCATTCTCTTCGCTGGTGATCTCTCTGATTTTGACGAATCTCGTTTCTTCTTCATGCCTTAGAGTATTTCGTAGTTTAAACTGACCATCCGCTTCATTTTTTTCAGATCTGAAATCTCGTAACCCTTTCCTCCGCCGCCGGTATGTTATTTCTCATGTCTTAAGGCGTTTAGCCGCCGGAAAACCTAAAAATTGTAGTCTTGATTCTTCTTTTCCCTTCGATTTGCAGATCTGTAACCGCTTGGGACCACATCTTCTCCGACCAAATCTTCTCCGACTATAAGTCATCCGTCGTCTTTTATTTAAAGATTACTGTTGTAGTGTTTTAGTGAAAGACTACTCGGACGACTTCCTGGAAATCTTACATGTAAGTCGTATGGAGAGTAAAACTTCATAGAAGACTTCCAGGAAGTCGTCCGAGTAGTTTTCTCACTTCCTGGAAGTTGTCCGAGTAGTCTTCTCACTTCCTAGAAGTCGTCTGCAAGTCTTCTATAGTATTTAGAATAGTGCGTTACCTTTGTGTTTGAGACGGTTGTTTGTGATTGTTTTCAGGCCTTGAAATGGATTTACCAGAACTCCCGCCGAGGTTGTTTACAGTAGGAGAAGAGCCCGCTGCAATCATGAGCATTTCATATCATTCTGATGATAATAAGTTGCTTAAAGCTCTATATGATAGTCTCACCACTGAGGAATATGAGGAGCTGAAGGCATCGGTTGGGAGTGTTCATCAAGTTCAAGGAGCTTGGATTTGGTTGGACTGCAAGGCTGGTACATTTTATTCTCTGTTTCCAGCTGGACATCAAGAAGAAGTTTGAGCTCTGAAGTCTTGTCGGACCAGAACCTGTGAGGTTTTCACCGATAGAGTTTGAACAACTCACTAGTCTGAACTGCGAGTACATCAAGGACCTGGAAAATCCAAGGTGTGAGATTTTGAAGGAGATGACTGCTTTTTGGGAGAAGATGGGTGTTGATCTCGATGCTGGGCCAAGTATTGAACATATAACATGAGCATTTTACAAGTGTGACGAGTTGTCTCGGGATGATCGCATGCGGCTGGGATACCTTGCCATCTACGCATGATACATTGAAGGGAAAAATTTCTCTTCTCCTACACGGGCTAGTCTTGCACGGCTAGTGATGGATTTGAAATTTTTTAAGAATTATCCATGGGGGAGAGTGGAATTTAAGGTGCTAATAGATTCTTTGAAGGCAAAAGACTTCAGGCAAAGAGGTTACACCGTTGATGGGTTTATACAAGTTATCCTGGTGTGGGCGTACTATGTTATGCCAGGTGCTAATTATGGGTCTCCCATACCAACCAGACCGTCTCCACTGTTGCTGGCTTACAAGGGTGGCCAAGGACAACTCAAATGTTTCAAGTCGGCCATCAGCAGACAAGTACTTAACTTCACTCACTAAGACTTCTCAGACGACTTACTTTTAAGTTGTCCATCTTTTCTAATTCGTCAAATAGTTAAGTTTATATCTTTTATTTACTGCAGATTAACGTGTACAACTTTGTTCAAAAGGAATTTGATGAAATGTTTCCAAAATGGGATGGAGACGTAGACCACCCTGCCGCGGACAACATAATTAAAGTTATGTTTGGTGATCCTGGATGGAAGTGGACCATGAACTGCTGGCAAGTCAGCAGTACTCAGAGGACACTGAAGAATGAAGCGAGTCGAGTGAAGAATGAAGCGAGCCTAGTGACGACGGAAGTTACTACAGTGA